CAACTTCATTTGCATATTGATTTTAACAGCAATCCTCTCAGGGGATGTTTAACCCTAAGTTTCCTGGCAATGGTGTAGTGCTCTGCTGCTCATATTTTTAAAAAGTCATTAGAGTAAACCCAGAGATTTCCAAATAGGAATAAAAATTAGATGACTCCCCCTGCAGCCCTGCACTCCCAAGCAAACACCCCACACAAAAGAGTCAGGAAGCAGCACAGAATTCTCTGAATTCTCGTGGCAATATCCTGGGAGTCTTTCCTCTGTGCTTTCTCCAAGTAGCTCTCCCTGAGTTGGGCAGGTGCAGGAACAGGGATCTGGGTCAATGGGGCAAGTGGGGACAGACATGTCCTGGTGACAGCCTCCAGGCAGGCAGGAGCTTAGGTCAGTCTCAGGAAATGCCTGCAGGTCCTCTGGCTGGACAGAATTGTGAATCACTTCTTCTTGGGAAGAGGCAAGCCCGCGTGCTTTTATAAATACAACCAGGTTAATGGCTCAGACCAAACGGCCCCTTCCCTTCTCTTTCCTGAAAATACTGTCACTGTTGCACTAAACTGCATCAGACCAAAGAGCTTCTGAATCAGTGGGATGGGGTAGGTTTTAAGCTGCTGCTCATTTCAAGGTGGAGGCTCCATCCTGTGCCTGCCGAGAACAGAGCCTGTGGTTAGGTGGCCATGGTTAGTGAGGACGCTCCATGTACGATGGTGAGAGGGCCAGAGGCTACTTCCCAGACGTGGGTAGTGGAACTAATTCTTTCCTAGTGTCCTTTCCAGTAAGGGTGCTGCTTTCTGCCTCAAACAAGCAAACTTTGGCGCTCTTCAGTTGCAACATCTTGAAGATGGACACAGATGTGAAAACACACACAGCTCAGATACGTGATCATCTCAGCCAGAGAAGCAGCTCTGCCCCCCGCACATGACCCCCAGGAATGTCCGTTCCTGTCATCCTAGCTGCTAGCTTGGGAGGAAGGCATCCTGGAGATTTCTGCAGACAGTCCAGCCTCACTGCAGCCACGACATTCCACCTGCACCTGGGGGGCCCTGGACCAGGGGTGCCGGGTGCAGGGAGGCCAGTGCTGCCTCTGCCTGTTGTCGGACAGTCACTCCCAGGGCGTGCTCCGTGTGAGCACAGCCAAGGTGCCACATGGCAGGCTGCCCGGCTGTCTGGGGACGGGGCCACCGCGGAGATGTGTCTAGAGCACAATAAAGTTCCACTCATTGGCTCCTCTGCTCTTTGTAGAGGAGCCGATTGTACTGAGGGAGAGGGACAGTGGAGAAAGCACAATGGCTTCACACTTGAGCTGGACAGTTCTCTCTATCTAAATTGATTTGTCATTTCCCTCTGAACACAAGAGGAGGGGGAGGATCGAGGTGAGGACCTCAGGTCATGCTGGCACTCGGAGGCCAGGCTAGGAAGGCCATCCCGCTCTGCAGCCAGGCTCCCTGCTCCTGTCTCTGTGAGGAGATACAATGTCACAGAGACACAAGGAGGCCTTGAAGGGCGGGGGCTCTATCGCCAGAGGAGGAATTTAATTCCCTAAGGCAACCAGAATGGTAGGATGCTAATCTTCCCCACGCCTCTAACCAAGCGCCAGTGCCGAGAATGCAGGGGCAGAACTGGTCCAGCAATGAAAGGCTCCGGCATTGGGCTTACATCACATTTCTCTCTGGGGAAATTCTCTCCTTCACCTCTACCAGGAATCAATGTGTGTGCGGTTTCCATACTGTTATAATCTCAGACTGCAAACTAGTAATCCACCACCTTCCTACCTAAACTAAGTATGTAACATGACAAAAGGTCACTTTTAAAAAGTAAAAATTCTGAAAGAGATGAAGTTAACTGTTCAGAAATTAAACATTACTCATTACTTACAGAATAATAGTACTTATGTTTTTGAGCACAATCAGTGGTGCATTGGTTTGTCTAGGTCAGGGGTGGGGAACGTCCGGCCCGCAGGCGGTATAAGGTCCATGAAATCATTTGGTCTGGCCCTGCCAAGTCTTTAGGGGTGAGCTAGTTAAATGTCTGACCAAGGATAGCAGGTGATGTTTAAGTTGATAACTTTGCATGGCCTGTGAATGATGCTATAAATGCCCACATGGCCTTGGCAGAAACAGCCCGCTCTCGGTGCTCTGACAGCATGCTCCCCAGCGCGGAGGCCGATTTGGGAGGAGACTGGGACAAAAGGTAACATCCACTCCTGCAGGCTTTCTCCTAAACCTGGTTTTTCTCAGTGGAATTGGCTTTTGATCACAAAGGGAAAGAATTCTTGTTTAATTTTGATCAGGCTCAGTCTTCACCTGAGGTAGAATCTGAGGAAATCCTAAGAAAAGTAGAACATAGGGAACCAGAATTTCACTCTGGGCTCCAACGCACATTTATTTTGTATTTGAATGATTCATTTAACTCTTCTTTTTTGCCTCAATCTCCCAATCTGGAAAATGAGGTCACTTTCACCCCCTTTGTGAAAAAGCAGTCTGGCAGTCTCTGGTTCTAGGCACTGAGAAAGGAGCCAAAAGCCAATGTGAGCCCCAAAGGAATTGGGTCCTGGCCTGTCCTGTGACATCCCTGCTGATCTATGTGTCACAGATGCCCCGGGGTGGGTCTGGGCTCCCTGAAAGACTGCCAACGCCTGAGAGGTCACTTCTGTCTCTTTCTTACTTCCTTTCCTATACCACTTGCAAAAGTGGACCTCAGCCACAGAGAGTGCCCGATACCAAACATGGCCCATCTGCTTCTTCTAACGATTAAGATGGATAGGAAATTATGCCAATCTCCAGGTTTGAAAAATGCCTCACAGATCGAAAGCTAAAGCACGTTCAACTTGGTCCTCACATGTGCTCTGTGGGGGTCCTGTCCCCCCTTTCCAGATGAAGAAGCTGACGTTCAGAGAAGTTAAACAATTTACCTGCAGGCAACATAACCAAGAGGTGTACCTAGCTGCTTTTATTCCATACCCACTGCTCATGCTCCCAAGCAGCCTTGGGCCAGAGCCTGCTTCAAATTTAGCAGACTAAGGATTCTTTCTCTAGTGCCATTTTGGTCAAGGTTAAATAAATATGGTTTTCTTCAATGCAGACAGTAAATTGATAATGAGATGATTTGTAACAAGTGATTAAACGGCCATCACTTGGGAATCTCCTCCCTCTCGCCCTCCTATGTTTCTGAAGTGGAAAGGTGCAGGGTGAAGGTGGGAGCGATGTCACTTCCCTAGGAGAGGAAGAAGCCTCAGCCCTCCCCCTTGCCACCCAGGCATCCCGCAAACAGATGTCCGAGAGGATCCCTCTTCCTACCACCCAGTTACTCCGAAGGGATGATAACAGCTATTGGGGGGTTAAAAAGAGGCACTGAACCCCCAGTTAATGAGCAGGAATTCAGCAGGCAGTGTAAGATAAATGGAGCTCTCTCTGCTTCTGCTAGAGTCAGCATGAACTGCGGCCCTGCGGCTTGTTTGTGGCAAATGGAGTGCACGAAATATCAAAGGGCAGTGATCCAGAAGAAGACCGACTTTGACAAATTTTAAATTGGCCAGAAAGAAAACCAGCAAAAAAGAAAAAAAAAAAAGAAAATTATGCAATTTGCTGTGTCCTGCAATTGTGGCATTGCTGCTTTTCTACAGAATTAGTGGTACAAACAGCAGCAACGATCGCTGGATGCTGGGAGCAATTATGCGCCATCTAAGTGAGATGCTTATCGGTGGCTGAAGCTTTTAGCGCTTTCTCTGTGTGCAGTTGTGAGGAACTTGCTCTTGAGCTGCAGTTACTTTAATTAAAGTGTATGGGGTTGGTCAGAAGTAATTATCCTGTTGGAGAAGAAAGAGGGAAAACACCCACCTCAGTAACTCTGGGTGGCAATAGATTTTAGAGACAACTTTGCCAATTTCTTGTTGTATGTGTGCATTTCCCATAAAAGGCCCAGGCTGCGGTGGGTTAGTTATTGGTGGCTGTTGCCTAATGGCAAACAATGGGACACAAACAGTGATTATTGTCACTGTGTAGGGCAAGCGACCTGGCTCAAGGCTGCAAACCCCAGGATGTGCAAACTGTAGACTGGAAGCAAACACTCAGAAGTTTCTGCGTCTCTAAGATGGTGAGGATATAGAGAGTCCACAAATGGCACTTCATTAATTAAATTACTATTTGGAACATAAATGAGCTAGCATCTCTCTTTTTTACACTTTCCATTCACTGCGTTTCACTACATTTTAAAGACAATCTCTCTGCTTCTCTGAAAACAAAACAAACCAACAAACAAAAGAAGCTCAAGCAATTATCTTTACTAACACAGCAAGGGGCTCAATGGGAGACCTGGGCAGAAAATCAGTGTTTTAAAAGAATCTGAAACTCATTCAGACTCTGAACTCAACACAGGGCTCCCACGGTGTAGTCCTATGTGCAAATTGCAAGTGCCTTCCAAAAGTTCCACAAACAAATGAGCAACAGAGCCCTGGCTGGAGGCATGAAGCGCAAACGCTCCCAGGGCTACTGCTGCCACAGCCTCTGCTTGGAAGCACGGGTGCACAATCTTTATTTCCATTTCTCTAGCTCAGAATGGCCCCAGAACACCACCTGGGTAGGTTTCCAGCTTTGCTATCCCATGACACTGACTCTCACATTCCTCAGAAACGAGGCAAGTTTGCCCAAAGAGACAAGCGGAAGCAGGACATTTAAGGCTAGCATATTCTCTGACTGATTAGCCTGCCCAATAGCAGCTTCTAGCTAATCATCCTTTACAAGGATATCCACAAGCCTAGAAAGATGGGCTATTTGAACTATAAGGATCAGAAGAAAAATCGGGTGACTTTTGCTTTTTTAGGGCCCACTTTCCCTCCTATTACACACACTATTTTATTCTACCAGGGTTCTTACCATATAGAGGACAGTAAATAAAGATTATCATGAATTTGATCAAATGCTTCAGTGCCTCCTCCCTTGGCCTAGAATGCACTCATTACAAATCAGTTGAATGGCTCATTGATTTGCCAGGAGCACAAGCAGACATACCCAATCGCTCAGCCAAGTGGATGTAGACGGGGTCCAACCGACGCATAGTTTTCACCAGATCCTTTTTGCGGAATTTGATTTCTACAGTCCCTTCTGGCTCCAGAACTGATGCCCTAGATCAAACAGAAAGAAAGAAAACATAACAAAACAGAAATAGAGGCCCTTTAAAGGAGGAGACAACAGAATGAGGCCAGTTACAATTTGTGGACCAGGAAATAGCTTCATTATAGTTTTGCCCACCCATGGTTCACAGACGTAATCCCAGGGAGAGAAGCAGGCACCAGAGAAGTATCGCAGTGAGGTATGAGAAAGGCCTGGCAAAAGGCAATTAAAGCATTCTCATTACCACACCAGTCTACTTCCACCTCAAAGGGAGAAGAATACGGATTCCACCACCTACAGCTGATAAGGGTAATAGGAGTCCCATTATTTTCCGCTGGCAGGGGAACAACCTCCAGCCCTTAGGCCGTGCAATGAGAGGTTGATGCCGATAGTCCTACACACAGCTGCCAGTCTGCTGGCAGCACGAGGCCAGGTCAAGCAGTAGAAAAATGTTCTGCTTACTAAAGTGAAAGATCTCAGGTTACATCTAACGATGTTCTATGACCAGGAACTTACCTAAACACCTTTCTTTTTTCTAAACTTTTACATTGGAAAAAATAATTACTACTCATGGTTACTGTGTGCATGGCACCGTTCTAAGAGCTGACATAGAAACGTTCAGAACAACCCTGAGCCGTCTACATCCACTGTGAGGTCAGGCATTGTTGTCCCCCATCCTACAGATACGGAAGTGAAGGTACAGCAAGTGAAGAGACTGTACAAGTCTAACAAGGGCAGAGGTGTATTTAAAACCAGTCTTGTTCCAAAATCTGCATGGGAATTGTCTTTGATCTGATATCAGATCAGGGGCTAGGTTAGCACTTAAAAATAATAAATTCCTAAGCACAGAACTTAAGCCTAATGATTTGACAATAAAACTACTGGGTTCTCCTAAGCAGGTTTTGAAGTCAGAGGCTGACATGTTTGGGAAAAGAGGGACACAGGTGTTCTAATAAAATGACTGGATGTAGGAAATGGCATGGAAGATGTCAAGGAAATATGTGAAATTTACCTACTTTGGAAAGGGTTGAAAACAGATTATGAAAGGAAGCTGGACTGGATCTTTTTTACTTAAGGATGTTCAGGTATCACCTTCCAACAAAAACCTGGGATTTTCTCTTGAAGTTCTTTGGGTGCTGCAAACACTGTTTTCCAGGCCTCCTGTAATGCCAGAGTAAGACACTGGACTCTGAGGGCGAAGCTCTGGTTTAGAATCACGGGATGTGGGTGCCGTGCTGGACCTCAGAGACCACCCAGCCTGTTCCACAGACAAGGAGAAGCAGCCGGGGAAAGGGAGGACTGCTCCCAGTTCCCCACTAGCCAGCGGCAGAGCTGGGTTAATAAGGCCCGAGAACCTCACACTAACAATTCAGTTCTTCCCCTCCAACTTGCCTTATCCTTCCGCAACATAGCGGAAAGAGAGAGTGAGTAGGCATATCTGAACATCCAATAGGAAGAGAGACTCTCTGAGGCCGGGGGTTCCTAGAATAGAAGGCTTTGTGGTAAAAGAATCTGGAGTGGTAGCCCTGACCAGTTTGGCTCAGTGGCTAGAGCGTCGGCCTGTGGACTGAAGAGTCCCAGGTTCGATTCCGGTCAAGGGCATGTACCTTGGTTGCGGGCACATCCCCAGTAGGGGGTGTACAGGAGGCAGCTGATGGGTGTTTCTCTCTCATGGATATTTCTAACTCTCTATCCCTCTCCCTTCCTCTCTGTAAAAAAAATCAATAAAATATATTTTTTTAAAAAAGAATCTGGAGTGGGGTATCACACCGAGAGAACCTGCCTGCAGCCTTGTTCTGTCTCCAGCCAGCTGACACCATTTGGAAAGTCCTTTTTTTTTTTGCCCTGGAGTCCTCTGGGAAAGGACAGATGCAAATCAAGTTCTCCAGGAGGAAACCAGCAGCCAGAGGACCCCTAGAGGCAGTGGATGGAAATAGGAAGGAGGCTACCTGCTTTCCCGGTCGGCATACATCTCCATGTGCCGGGGGTTGATGGTGGGGTCGATCACGACCCAGGAGCCACCCCGAAGCTCGGCATGGGGAGGGATGTAGACCATCACAGGCTGAGAGCACTCCCGTAAGCCGTCCACAATGTAAGCACCAAATTTCAGCACTTGGTCATACATATCTATGGAGAATGAGACAAATTAGAAATGAAGAAACACTGATCACATCATTGCACATATAAAAAATAATATTTAAAAGGCACACTGTGCCTCCAAGAGGTAGCCGCTGACAGACCTGAGGGTTGTCCTGTTTGGCCCCCTTGAAGACCAGAGAGATTGGTAGCTCCCCCTATATTCAACAGCACAGAGAAGGGCATGGTCTTTCACAAGACTCAGTGTGCATATCCATTTCATACGCTCCCTGAATTTCTGTACCAGGTCTCACCACATTAATTCACACTTGCTCTACAAACATTAAGTATTTTTCATGTCAATATGTGATCTTTCTCCCTACATTTTCTGAAGGAACTATTCAAGCTCTTCTCAATTCTTCTCATGATACTTAGCATATGATAAGCTCTTAATATGTGCAGCTAATGGAAAAGGAGCCTTCAAAAACTGCATCTTTTATCTGTGTCCAGAGTGTCCTGTCCAGTGCCTGGAACATAGTGCTCACCACGTGTCTGCTGAATGGATGAGCATCTACACACTTTGCAAAGAATGCAGTGAGAAAGAAAAACTAATTCTTTAAAGGTTGCATTATCAGGGTTTCAGTGAGAGGAAAAAATGTAAATGCATGTGTATTTATTGGAAATGTCTCAGATACATAAAAAGAGGAACCACCTTTTCGTTTTGCTAACGAGTACACTTTGTAATGTCCCCAAGGCCAAGAGCAGCCTGAAGAAAAGACCCCTGGTACATAAATAAAGTGAGTCCTTGGAAAGTAGGATCGGTTATTTATTTCCCAATAATTTATGAACTTCGTCCCATTTCCTAGTTCACTGCAGTCTAAACATTGCTAAAGCTTGAGGTTTATGATTCCAGATGTTTAATGAGTACTTCCGTGGAACCACAATGGATCCTTTTTAAACACCAAATAACAGGTTCAACGGAGTTCAAACTTTTCTATCAAGGAGAGGATCTCAATTTGGAGTAAATCAATTCTGGAAATCCAAAGCAAAGAAGCATTTTTCAGGAAGTTAAGAGTGAACCAAATAGAAATTGCTTTCATTGTAGTAACTGGCAAATTAAACTGCCACCTTCTCCCAGGTAAAAATGGCTCTATGCACAAACCCTCCGTGAGCAGAGTTCATTGCAAGGCACATGCCTTCTCCACTGCCCCAACCTGACTGGTCTGTGAAGACTTCAAATTCCAAAACTCCAGAAGTTGCCCCAGAAAAAACTCCCTCCTCTGTGAGGAATGTGTATGACCATTTACTCTGTATTATGATCAGAGCAAAGACATGTATTCCTTTGGGAGGAAAGCAAAGACAAAAAAATTTACTGCTAATTACACTACTGCTGTATGAAAGGCAAGGAATAAAAGACTTTAAGCATTTTACGCTAATTCTGTGGTTATGAAAATAATTGCTCAGTTCAAATTATTTTAACTAAATTAATTCTTTAGTGGATATTTCAACCAGTGCTACATAATAAAATAATTGTGTAATTAGCGATACATTTTTCAGTGCTGCCAAGAGTACAGTCTCAGAACAAGTCACAGAAAGGAGTGGCCCTCAACGGTATCACACACAGAGAAGAAATGAAAGGCATAAATAAAAAGTAAAACAACAGAAAAATAGCACAAAACGGTCATCCCATGTGCAAAAGAAAAAAGTAACTTAGAAATAAATGAAGGGAGAGTTTCCAGCTTCTTCAATAGTTTCTTAAAGACATACTTACATCAAAATCTGTCTCTGTACTATCTATGATTAATAGACCCAGGTCCCAAAAAGAAAGTGGGGAGTGGGGGGGGAGACTTTGAAGTGTACTTCCATTTGGTTGATTTTAAAAAGTTGGCTTCATAGTATATGCATATAGTTTGGGATGATATTGAGTATGTGTGCATTTTTTATTTCTGTGAAATGGGCTGTGGTCTCTCTTTTTCATCATCACAGCTAGTTTAGTGAATACCAAGAAGCATGATTGCATATATATTCACACATAAATTATTCAGTCATCAGAAAATCATCTTATTCTTATATCCAAATTACAGGTGAGTAACCTGGGGCTTAATTAAGTGGCAGAGATAAGACTTGATCCAAGATCTTTTGGGATCTAAAGTCCACATTCTACTACCTCATTCTTAACTCATCATTCTTACTGCACAGAGAGGGCACAAGGCTGAGGTAGTCTGCTTTCCAGGATTTGATACGATGGTGAGTAAAACAGAAACCAGAAGAGACTTGAATAAATGATTCAATATTTCTAAATTTCACCTGGATCCTTTGAATGGCCAGAAATGGTACTGACGATACTATCAGCTTGTTTGTATCAAACAATTATCTTTCAGGCCCCAAGACCGAGTAGAAAAGGGGCATCAAGGTTTATCACAGCTGACAAACTGGGGACTGAAAAAAATACCTCCATCTAACCTGGAATACCAACAGACCCACAATCCAACCATCAAAACACCCAACAATCAACAAAGGCTATTGAAACATAAACAAACACACAAACAAACAAACTCTACAAACAACAGGCTCACACTGAATCACAGCTGCCCAAGCCAGATATTCTGAAAGGCAGGTTGAAGCACTTGGCAACAATCTGACACATACTTGTCTGAAATCCATTTTTAAGAGACAGAGCAAAATCACCACCAAGAATAGCAAGGGAGGGGCTCTCTCCAAGGGTTTAGGCTAGACATCAGTCTAGGGAATTCTAAAGCTATGCATATGCTGACTGTCAATTCTCAGGCCATAAGAAATGCAACTGGGAATGGAAAATACTGATAGGTTCTTTACTGGAGAGGCAGGAGCTTGGAGCTTTCCAGCATTCTGAGCAAAGAACATCTGCGTGAACGGGGATCACACAGCTCTTCCAGTGTGTTCTCAGCACCCAGACACCAACCCTGCCCAGGGCCTTCGCTTACACAGCATGGATAAACCGTGGCCACCACATGCACAAACAAGCGAGCAGGGTGGCAGGGTGTTTGCACAGTGCCCCACACTCTGGAAGCTAGAACAGATCATATTGACTTGGGGAGAGATTATCTGTTAGAAGCTGAAGGTAAACATTAGGCATAACCAAGCTGCACACACATGCTGTCTCATGAGTTCATTATGGCTGGCTGACACTCTATTTCAACATCCAAGTAATCAGAAGCTTTAACATAAGACTTTCATTCCAGTTAAAGTTTTCAATAAATGTTTTTTTTATTGTTATTTATAACCTGTCCCAGGAAAAAATAATAAGTATAACATGAAAAGCCAACTGAGAGTGACCCTGTAGCACCAGCAGTGAGGTGGCTTAATATCACTGGGATTTGCATCCTATCAAGCTATTCATGCTGAGGCTGGGACCCTGGTGCTAATTTCTAGTAAATTTCACGCTTGATGTCTCCCTGTTGTGGGTCATTGCCGGTTCGTCTAAATAAACTGCTTCCAAATGGCTCTTCCATCTAAATATTCAGCCAGTTTTTATAATTTAATTTTGCATTATGCTGAATAGCCTTCCGGCCAGATAGAACTCATTGGAAAAAAAGCACCAATACCATCTTGACATGCTTTTATTTATTTATTTATATTTTTACTGCTCGAATTAGACCTCCTAGGCCGACTAGTAAAGAGTCCCCCCCCTCCCCCAATAATGTCAATTTTCAGCATAGCAAGAGCTGTCTCTAATCTTTTCCTACTCATTACACACAATTTTGGAGTCATTTTACCCACAGTGCAGTCGGCTCCTGGCTGTGTGTTTGTGTGCACTGAGGGATGGCATAATTGTTTATTTTCCCTCTCTGCATAATCTCCAGCCAGTACTGAAACCAAAACTGCAAACATCTCCCCTAGGGATATGGAATGACTCTCAGCCTAGGTCCCGTTACATGAGATAATATGTAGAGAACATCCTGACTATATGTAAATACGAAAGGCTATGCTCTTCCTCCCTCTCCTAATTTCACACTGATCTCTATCTTCCCCAAAGCTTTTTTGTCTTAAATAATGTGTAAATGAATGTAGCAGCACCAAAATTCAGAAAATTGGTCTACAGCAGCCCAATAACTCATTTTTGACCAGAAGTAGGGGAGAGAGGAAAAGGGGGAGTTATTGTTTAATGGGTACAGATTTTATGTTGAGGATGATGAAAAAGTTGGGTATATACAGTGATGATAGTTACCCAACATTGTGAATGTATTTAATATTGCTGGATTGTACACTTACAAATTGTTAAAATGATAAAATGTTATGTATATTTTACCACAATAAAGAACTGTAACTTATTTCTGAGCTCTTCTCACAATAACCAACTCCAAAGCAGAGGGGAAGCAGGTGAACAGTAACTTTCTCAGGAATCTAGATCCTCTATTCTAGGGATATTCTAGCAGATCAGGTCTGGTCCTAGGCTCTAAAAATCAGCCAACTATGCTATATGAAGTCAGACAGATCCATGTTCCTTTCCCAAATCTGTCATTTTTAGCTAAATGATCTTGGCAAATATACTTAACCTAAGTCTCAATTTATGTAAATTACAGATAATAATATAACCGACCCCTTAGAGGTGCTTGTTGTGATTATGTAAGATAATGCATGTGAAATGATGAGCACAGTGGAAACTGTGAAATGGTGAAAAGAGCTCAGTGAATCTTAATTGTTGTTCTTACTGTTACAGGGCTAGCAGCCAATCTAGGCCTGGGATCAAATATGTAGCAGAATTGAAGCTTTTCCTACAAGAGGCACATGGCAAACTTATGATCTCTGAATTCGTTAGACAAAATAGCCAGGCTGACTTACTCCTAAGTAATATGCAATGCCCCCTGCCCCTCAGAAGAGATGTAACTAAGAAGTAACAGCATTGCATTCTCTCTTAAATCTTAATGTAAGTCTTACAGCCAAGGAATTTGGGATCAAGTGAAATCTGACGCTAAATGAACCTCATATATATATATAAATAAAAGGGGTTTCAGGCCCCTTTCCCCCAAACTTAATATAGCATCGTCCTCTTTTGAACACAGTGGTATTTTGTTTATACATTATGACTTTATCATTCTGCCCAAGACATTTTTCTTAATTCCTTGAGGCAGTGTCTGTTTCTGACTTGTTTTTGTTTTCTCTGCAGTAGCTAGCATAGTTCCTTGCATATAGGAAGTCAATAAAAATTTGTACGATTGACTTATTTAACCTATACTTTCCATGTCTCATGGTATTTCCACCGATTTATTATCTTGGTTAAAAAAAAATTCACCTTGATAGTCTATAAAAGTATGCAAACTTTAATTTGCATTTATAGTCTAAGTCTCTCCTAAGAAAAGTTTAAAATGTGGTAGTTCTCCAGCAAATATGGGCAAAGGGGTGCTTTCCAACTAGAGTAACAAAAAATCGTCTTAGTCGTCTACATTTTGCCAGGAAAGCCTGGCCATCCAGGGCTTTTCCTAGCCAAGCAAGGAAAAGTTGTTAGCATAAGGCTCGAGAATCTCTCTCCACACAGACCTGGTAATCTATAAAAGGGTAACTTCCCGCTTCCTCCCTCAGAGCTAGAGATGCCCCTGCCCAAGGCATTCGGTGTCCTTCTCATCACTCTATTTACTCCAGCAGTATCAATTCCTCCCTCCCGTTCCCCTAACCCATCCCCCACTACACTTCAGAACCCTGAGTCCTGTGACACTCCTCAGCACACGCATCCTCGCCCGGAATGTTGTTCTGGCCTTAGCATGGCCATGAGTCTCTGGCCACTGGAGAGGCGCTCAGCTACTCGAAGAGGCAGAGCGTGTTTCCCGTGGTGTTCCCCGAACTGTCTGCAGTGGTTCTGCGCACACAGGATTCTCAGTAAATGGGGACACTGGCTGCCTAGTCACTAAGCAATTCCCACAACAGAGAGCCCAGCCTTTAATAATGGTCTAATAGGCTGGAGCCCAGGCCCAGGGCTGCTGTTGGATAATAATAAAACATCACAAATTACCACCAAGAACAGCCACTGCTATAGACTTTGTTAGTTTTCTTCTGGTAAAGGCTAATTTCAGTATCTGTCTTGGTCATTGTAAAGTGTTAAAGAGTAATGTCAACAAAAAGTTTGTCCAGAAAAGAGGGATCATATGTTTCAAGGACCATCATTCACCTGTGAAAGCTAATCCATAATAGCAGTCCACCTAGATAACACTAGCAGATTGTTCTGATATTTTGTATGGAATTGTAAAACATTGAATTTTCCCATTCAGGTTACCACTCAGAAGATATCTCAGAGGATGCACAATCCCCCAAAAGCCTAGGGCCGTGGTCGGCAAACTGCAGCTCGCGAGCCACATGTGGCTCTTTGGCCCCTTGAGTGTGGCTCTTCCTAAGCCTTAGGAGTACCCTAATTAAGTTAATAACAATGTACCTATCTATATAGTTTAAGTTTAAAAAATTTGGCTCTCAAAAGAAATTTCAATCGTTATACTGTTGATATTTGGCTCTGTTGACTAATGAGTTTGCCGACCACTGGCCTAGGGTGATGGGCTCCAGGACACTCATAGGCTCTGCCCAATATAAGCCCTCCCTCCCTCTGCTGCAGGGTTCAGGGGAACCAGTGAGGCCCCCAGCCCAGAGCCAGGCACTCACCTTTCATCCCACCAGAGAAGCCTCTCCAGTTAGCAAAGACCATCAGAGGCAGCCCTTCACGGTTGAAGTCCTTGACAGCCTGATAGGTTTTAAACGCAGAGTCTGGGAACCAAACCTGGCCAGCCTGCTGGATTATCTATTGGGGAAAATGAAAAAGGAAGACACAATTTGAGGGGGAATCTGTCCAAGGTGAATAAGGTTTGATTAAAAATTCAAAATCAAACTAAAAAAAAACAAACCACAAAACAAAAACCCCCACCAGGTTTGTTCATCATAAAGATGTTCTTTGAAGTAGGAAAAAAGATCCTGGATCTTTGACTTTGTTAAACAATCCTCTTTTTGATTGCTGATGACACCTCCACTCTTTAGTCAAAAGAGAGAAACCTATTGCTTCTAATGGAAGGATGCACTCAGTACCCTTGCTTTCCCAGGGCAACTCTAGACTCAACTCCTCCAAGTGGCCAACTGCACAAAGGCTCCAAGTCCTTCACCTCTGTGCTTAGTGCAGCTTTTCCTTTTCCTTTTCTGTGGTTAATAAAGGGACACTCATTGTGACCCTGCTGAATAACCTCCTCCCCGATCTCCCCACAACTCATTTTCTGGATCTTGTCAGGATGTGAAAATGCTATCCATCCTTTAAAAAAGGACAGGCTGTGGTGTTCACAATTTGGCAGACTCCACTATTAATTCTAGCAGTAGCTCTTCCATGAGTGTGTTCAGAGAATCTGAGACCAAAGAGCCCTTGGCATTGTCTCGGCTGCCTTTCTCTAAGACCACGTCCCCAACTATTTTCCAGCATCAGCAAGACAACTGTAAAGGCCTATTTAATTTTTCAAGCAGAATTTATCTTGAAGTACATTTAGTGTCATCTTAAGAGCACAAGATGGTCTGAACTCATTCACGGCTGCTGACTGCCCTTCCCTCTAAAATTGATGGTTTGCAGTGCTCCCAGTACATCCACAGGCTCTGCAGAACGGCAACACAGCTCCAAGCACAGGCGTATACTGTACTCGGGGTGACCTACCTTGGCTTCAGAATCCAGGTTTGCAGGATCAGCTGGGATACTGAGTTCCACTGTTCGGGTTTCTACGGCAACTACTCCCACAGGTATTCCTCCTAGCCTGATAAAAATTGAGCCACATAAGAGCCTAATGTGTGTCAACATTACAGCTAGTCATTTATTTTCCAATCCCACCTCAAAACATTGGGGTAAAAACTAGTAATACAGAGAGCAAGGGAAAGTCAGACTCTTCTAGGAGTAAGAGACCCTGGATTTGGTGAATATGGTAAATTTTTGTAAATACAACAGAAAACTAACCTCAGAAGCACTCCAATTCTCCACAGGATAAATTCAAACAGAGGGTTGCACTAGGGGAGCCTCTAGCATTCAGACTCAGCAGCCTAGCTTGTGCACACATGTGCATTCACACACATCTGTCTCTGTGGTTGCCCAATGGAACTTCTCAATTCACCATAAAGTATCTTTTTGATGAAGATGGAGGGAAATGGTCCAAACGGTAGTAAGAAGCTGAAACTCTCACGAACTATTTTAACAAATGATGGCATTGCTGAAACAGTGCTGTAGTTTCCTATGGAGTACTAATAGTGTGGTTCCAGATAGGATCTGAGGGTAGGTCTCACCACTAGGCATGTGGATGGGGAGTGTGTAGGTATGTTATGGGGATGAAGAAAAATGTGTCAAGTGTAGGCAGGTGGTTAAACAATTTAACTTTCTTCTTCATTAGAAAAAAGCAATGGGATAGAGAAAACTTTCTATAGTAATCTTGGTGAAACAAATGATCAGTATTGAAAGTATATATTTTAAAATAAAGCTACGTTAATTTTAACAACTGTCCAGGAGCTCAAAGCCTCCGCATCCATGATATCCTCCCAACTTGGTCCTCATAAAGAAAGTAGAAATCGAGAAGCGGGGGGAGCGGGAGGGGGACGGAGACAGAGAAAGAGAACTGCAAGGTACAGGGCGAGTCCTTACTCAGAAATGTAATTCAATCTTCACTCTCACAGCTGCATTCCTTGGGGTTGGGACTGGGATGGGTTATAGTCTCTCATCCCCCCATAGCATCTCCATAACAAACTTTTCCATGAAGGATGGTCTTTGGTTGTTACACTGGCTACTGGAAATGGATTCTTATCATCACAAGAGGCCTGACAGGGGCCTGAGTGGGGACCACCCACCCCCTTGTCACTTGCCTGCACTGAATCAGAATCAAAAGCCCTCTAGACAACCAGACAATGAGCAGGAGGTACACAGGAGGGTTTAGAAATATTTCTGTTCACAATGATTAACAATCCAACTGGAAACTTGTAATTGCAAAAGCCACCCTAAATCGGTAACTTATAACTTATATATTAGGGCCCATGTGACCTAATAAAGAACATCTTTATCCGAGTATTACAGTTATTTATTGAACTTGAAAACAGCTCAGAACAACTTCTGTTTTCTATTATACTTCATATAAATTTTATCAGGCTAGCACATGAAGATGCTACATCTTGTTTTATAGTGTGTCCCTGGACAAGGTGCCATGGAATAATAAAAGACAATTTACAGCCAATAGCACACATATTCCAAACATACATACCAAAGATGAGTTTTGGCAGCACTTACAGTAACAATCCCAGAAGAATACATTTATATTTATTTCTCGAAATGCCATTGCTTTTGAAAGAAGCTAGCTCCATTTGTGTTTTATATACTTGTGAGCATGTGTATGTGTTTGGAGCAAGAAGCCCAGAACTCATCAGATGGAAAGAAAGAAGTCAGAGTGAGTGTCACAATAAACAATGGCAGAGCTAGCCAAAGCCACACTTGACTGATCTTGCTCACAGACAATCCCTATTCTTCCAATCATAAGGGTAAAACATTATTCTCTTGTTTCCCATGGGAGAATATTAAAGATCTTAACAAAGGTTTGGCTTTTGGAGGGTTAAAAATCTGTCAGGTTTTTTACAGACAAGAAAACTGAAGCAGAATAGGTAAGAGGAAAATTTTCAGAAAAGTTGGTCTGAATGTGGTGGGAGGACTCTCTATAGCAAACTGATAGGTCCCGGGTAGAAGGGCTCTCTCCTCTAGTGCACCCCCCACCTCCCCAGTGGGAATTTTACCAGGCACAAAGAATTCTCACTGGGACCCAGAAGCCTGGGGTTAGGTGGAAGACCCGAGACGCGGCGAGAGGAAAACGGGAGCCAGTCCCTGTGGGCCTATCGGCCTGCCTCTTATTCTTGCCACAGGGGAAGATCCTGTCTGTGGGATTTGCCATCTGATGGCTCCTTGTCACTGGCAGCACAAGGCATACTGACCTGCTGTACTGAGAGAACCACAAAGCCTAGAATTATTTTCAAGGCTAGAATCTAAATCTCAACCCGATGTGGCGTGTCTGAGAATCGTGGGCAGGTGCCACTTTTCACTGAGATAAGAGAAACTGATTGCCCCCGAGAGGAAGGTGAGCTCCAGATGTGGGTCCCGAGGGCAGCGGGTCTCTGCAGTGCAGGATGAGATTAAGATCAGGCGCTCGTTATGGCGAGCGCTACAGATTATTTCGTGTGGAGCTTGCTGTTGAGTGAAGCACTTCTTAGAGTGGGTATTAAAATCTAACAGAAACTTTAATTTCCCATTTGAAAAATACAGGTATCCCAGCTTATTTTACTCACTCCTGCTTCAGGTAAACTCTTTTTTGGGGTAATTCAAATCTGACGATAAACCAATATAGTGCCACTAACTTGTTACTTAAATAAGCTCGATGACATGAAGGAACTTCTTTCAAGTTACATAGAGAAGTAGGTGAGACTGAGTTAGTTGTTACCTACTTCTGAAAGAAAATGGTCTTTGGGAAGGGGGGTGGTCATGGCGGGCTGTAGCTATTTACAGCCCCCAAACAGTGTTTCTCTCAGCATTATAACAAGGAAACTGTCAAAACGAGACTTTAGATTAAACGCATCACTGGAGACACACACTGAATGACTGCTGGGAACTGGTCTTCCAGTCATGCTGCCTCTGGAATGACCATGATCCAATATTCTTAGAAAGTTTAGACAAAGAGAGCATTGTTGGTAAGAACCTGTATAGTCCTGGCCCTTTCCTTTCTTGTTTTCATTTGGGAGGAAAAGGAGCTTCCAGAACAAAAGAGCTCTTACCTGGCTCTGCCAACCACCACGGTCTGGGCCCAAGGCTGCATGATTTCCGAGAAAGACCCATAGTCAAAAAATCCACTCAACCACTGACCTTTCTGGGCTACAGAGGAAAAGAAAGAGAACAAATCAATTCACTAAAAATGCACTGGAATTAGCAAATTTAACATTGGATTTGGGGGAGTATTTTGGGGAGTTTGTTGTGTTTTTAACCATATTATAATAGATGGAAGCATTAGGCAGCTAAATGTTCATCTGCCTTCAGACATCATCTCCTAGTTCATTTGCTAGACTGCATAGATTCATTTATCAGCAAAAGCATCATTTATTGTTAAACGATGGGGTTCAGCTAGCAGAGAGAGTTTGCATTGCTTTTAAATAAATAACTTGGTTTTTTCAAAACATCACAAACATTTGTCAAAAGGCAGCCAAGTCGTTAAAGATGTTTTCAAAATGTCTACTTCTATTTTAAAGCTTAGCTTACAATTTTGTTTGATTTCACTGATTTTCTTTCTTTTTTTTTTTTAAATATATTTTATTGTCTTTTTACAGAGAGGAAGGGAGAGGGATAGAGAGCTAGAAACATCGATGAGAGAGAAACATCGATCAGCTGCCTCCTGCACACCTCCCACTGGGGATGTGCCCGACGCTCTATCCACTGAGCCAAACCGGGTAGGGCCACTGATTTTCTTTTAATGGAAAGCTGAAGACCACCAAATGGTAAGTATTAATATTCAGATGAGGACCCAAATTTGGGGAAAAGAAAAGGGACTCAACTTTTCTGCTACAAAAGCAACAAAATATACTTCCTCTTTATTTATAGCTGACCAAGTATAATCTCTCCACAAGAAAGGGCCATGCCTACATATAGACAGATAGGAAAAATTTAATGGTTAAGATGCATATACTTACTGTCATTAACCTCCCTTGCACATAGAATTTCCTTTACTGGCAGCACACTTAACTTTCAACACCTTAATTTAAGGAAAAAAATAACAACAAACCCTTTTGTCCAACAGGTATCTGTGTTTGACCAGGGCCCCATAAAAGCTTCTGCAAATAACCGTCTCCTAGCGTGCCGTCTCAGCTCATGGCTTCTCAGTGATTCTTTTAATTTGAACATGGCCCTCCGCCCCCTAAAAACCCAAGTCCAAAACCAATTAAAAGTGGAGATCCGAGCAAGCTAACCTCTGCTGACTTAAACAGGATGGAGAGTGTTTTATCAAGACTAAACTTGTAATTATTGTGTTCTACATTCCTTGCCTCTATGGCCCCAGTGTAAAATGTGATCATCCATTTCAAAATTATCTCTCTATCGTGAGCCCAAAGCCGATCGTTTAGATTCTGGTCTCGTGTTGGGCGTCAGTTTGAAGAATATCACAGCACTATCTCCTCTAATAAATGACTTTAACTTTTCACCTAGAAGATATCTGCTTTAACTTATCACAGGGAATCATCTGCTTTCCTTAACGTTTCCACTAAATTAAAATCCGAAGTCACTCGATTTGGGAGCGAGTGTTAGCTGCACACAGACAGCAGGATGAATGACTAGGGAGTCCATGAAAAAATATTATCCCAAACCCAGAAAACTTAGTCTATCACAAATTCCATTTTACTCTGTAGATCTCATTAATAATGGCCAAGATAATGCCCCACCTTCCCCCATACACGCCTCATACCTGTTCACCCCATGAAAGAGAGCACATTTTTTGATGATGGTTCTAAACCACGTTTCTGAATGCATCAGGATATTGTAATTTTAACTTCATCTACTTGGGTCATTTTATGATTCGTACTTCAATAACAATAATTTAGAATTATAAAATCCATTTCAAAATGGAAATGTTTTCTTCTTTAAAAACCTTCCTGCCTTATTTATCAACTGGGGGCTATGGCTATTACAGGGGGGGCTTTACTGCCCTCAGAGAGCTGGTCATGTTCAGTTCAAATGTAGAACTTAGAAGCCAGCTCCCATGGCTCCCCATGATTCCTAGGGGAACAGTCACTGAATCTTGTTCTGAATTTTCTCACAAAAGTCCTGGATTTTATCTCGGGTTCATAGTGCTTAATATAAAAATGGTATAAAAAATGAGAGGTAGAGAAATTACAATGGTGATTTTTCTGGGTACATAAGAAAAACTATTTAGTCTCATTAAGATTAATAAGAAAAGGTACTGAAGACAACAGGTAAAATTTTAAATTAAAATCAACCTTCCTTTGGTGATTTTTCTACACTATCTATAATTAGGCTTCAGATTTAGCCCCAGCTCCTAAGTAATAGCCGTGTGACCCTGTGCAAACCATTTAACTTCTCTGAGCTCCTAAAACGATGATCTCTTTGTAGCTGTAAGAGGCAGCAAGCCCAAATAAGATAATGTATATAAAATGCTTTATCATCCCACCTGGCTTAGAGTGGGTGCCCACAAAGGTTGATTAAGTCTTCCTTATGAAGACCTCTTTCTCTTTCAACAAAAATCACAATTGATTCAAATTTAATTATCTCTTTAAGATATAGCCTTTCTTTGCAATAGTTGCAATAAACATACAAAAAAGAACAAACACTTTCTTAAACAATTTGAAACAGTAGATTCTAAGTGGAGCAGGGGGACTTGGGCTTCACAGAAGAACTTCCTAGTGAGTATGGTTTGTGAAACAGCCAAATGGACTGACAAACAAAAACACACATTTGCCTTGCATGGAGTTACCTTTGTTTGTTTGTTTCTTCCTTTGTTTCTGTTTGGAAAGTTAAGATAAAATCAGCCCCAAGACAGAAGGCTATATTAGAGAAACATGGACGAAGAGCTTGTTCTTGCTCTATATATTGGTAAAATTAAAAGTTCTGGACAATCTCTTCATGAGTAGATGATCTTACATTAATAACTAAAGCAAGTGCCAACACTATTACCACTATCGTAAGAAATGAAGGGTGCATGCAGGGGGGCTCAGCAGTAGCTCGCTGAGAAAGGTGTAGTCACACTTGACAAGGAGGGGTCCCAAAGACCTTTCTAGCACCGACCCAATTAACCTGTTTATAGAAACTAAATGGCCGAAGATTCTGGTCCTATAGTTCTATGACTTTATGACTTAATTTAACTGCTTTAAAGTCCTTGAGCCCATTCAATAGTAAGTGCTTTAATAGCAGAAGAAACAGAAGCAATGTATTAGCGATTGCACTGCTTATGACTCAATGGCTGATTTGCAAATCTCATCTCATTTTTCATTTGTTCTTAAAGAATTTTCCACCTTTTTCTTCAGATTTTTCTTACTTCCAGGTACTTAGTAGCTGTTTTCTTTGTCACGTGCTATTGTGCAGAGACTGGTCTGTGGTTGGGAAGAAAAACCCTGAAACCTGGAGGGCCAGGGACCACAGAATCCTTAAACATATACATACTTGGGTGAGGACGGCCTGCCAGCATCCATCGAGGATCATATGGGGCCTTTGTGGGGACAAACTCGATAATTCTGTCTATAGGATCCTTGGAGTTCAGGATAGGAACGGAACTGTTCACGCTCTGAAAGGAGATTGGGAGGGAAAGAGCACAGCAGTCAGTAAACGTCAATCCAGCGCGACAACAGTCATTACAAAGACAACAGGGCCCTCATGCGGAGTTACCCCCATGAGCCCTAATCAGCAGCTAGAAGCATTCCAATGGCATGCCAGGCCCTGAGGAACAGGAGCAGGTCTCAAGTTCCATGTAGGACTCTGGCCCCAAGTGGTGCCTTCTGACTGATTGCAGTGTGCCCAGGCTTTCTGGGAAGCTTCCCAGAGGGAGGGCTGGGTATTACAAAGGAGAAAACCCACAGTGAGGAGAAAGCCTTAATATGCTGGGATCTGAGCCCAGGTAGGCCATGGAGACTCCTGTGGCTAGAATACATCAGAAAGGGGCCTAACCAATGAAATCTGAAGATTTTGTTGTTGTTGTTTAATCCTCATTGGAGGATATTTTTTCCATTGACCTTTTAGAGTGAATGAAAGGGAGGGGTGGGGTATAGATAGATAGATAGATAGACAGATAGAAACATCAATGCGAGAGAGTCACATCAATTGGTTGCCTCCCACACCCATCCCAACGGGGCTGGGCATCAAACCTGCAACCCAGGTACACGCCCTTGACCGGGAATTGAACCCATGACCCTTTGGTGCACAGGCTGACGCTCCAACCACTTGGCAACACTGGCCAGAGCCCAAAGGCATTTTAAAGGTAGAAGGCAAAAGATGGCTCTAAGAAAAAAAGAAATCAACAGCTTTCCGAGGAACATTTCACAAAAGATTCCTGCACTATGAGGAGTTCTCCAGTGCAGAGGCAGCAGCTGTGGTGGAAAGGCCGGGTTCTGCAGGCTCACCTTAGGCATGTATGATAGCCAGTGCAGGATAGTGAAGACCCCCTCAAAGTCATCACAAACGGTGCTGTGGGTCACCCCATTGTTGTGCATGATCTGGATGCCACCGAGCTGGTTATTGGAGGTATATACTTCCCGCCCGAGGACCTGGAGAAACGAGCAAGAGACATTGGTCTTGACAGAAATAAAGGCCAAGTCTATTTTGTTATTCTCACTAAAAAGGGTTCTTTTCTCCCCAAGACAGAGATTCCAGCTTCCGTGGTTTGTTCGAAGGGACTATCTGGACCTTTGTCCTAAAAAGAAAACTTAGAAAACAAAAAAGGATTTTAAACAATCACATATACTGTTGCAATTTAAAAACGAGCAAGCCTCTCCCTCTCTTTCTCCTAACTGCCAAAGATACGCACAGCATCCTTCACACTGAGCTGAAACCACAGCGGTGGGCGAGCCTGGGACCCGAGACAGCAGCTACCGCAGCATCTGCATGCTGGCGGAGTTACTGTGCATGTACACAAAACAGGTAATGTGCCCGTCTTCTGACAATCTTCAGTCACAAGTCTCAGTTAAAAAAGTGCTGTGAGGTTTAGATTCCCTTTTTAAAGGATTACTTTTTCCCTTGTATTTGATTTTTAAAGCTGGTCTCGATACATAAGCCCTAAGGCTGGCAAAATCCTGAAGCATCTCATGATACAGACATGAACCCTCGAGTCTATAGTCCTTTGTGTGCTGGGTGCAGGGCAATGATTTATACCCAAGCCCGCCTCCCTCCCTCTGTCCTTCCCTCCCAAGGTTCCTGGGAAGTCGGAGTCTCAATCCCAGGGGTATCCCTAGAGTTTAACCCTTGTGAGGTGGAAGGCAGGCACCTGCAATTGGAAACCACAAAGTTTCTGTTAAAGAAGAAAAAATATTCTTGAACTTGGAAATTGTAGTGTTTCTTTTTCTCTTGAAGATTGGTTAGTAATTCCTTTCAGGGAGGGAGCTTTTCTGACCCAGCGGATGGAAGCCGGGCAGCCTGATCACTGGCTATCGCAACTGCTGAGTGTTAGTAATTGCCAGTCATCTAGGGGAGCCCTGGAGAGCTCTAAACAGTTGTAGAGCGCTTACTGTATTTTACGTCTTCTTTCCCTCTCCCCTCCTCCTTTAGAAAATAACCACAACACAACATTTCTTCCTTACTAACTTTTATTCATTTCCAGCCTCTGGGGAGAACCTAATAAATGAAAGACCAGTAGGTTCTGTATATGCCCATTGTGCCCCTTCTGGTTAGGAGCTCCAAGAGGTTGCCCCGCCTGCTGGGTCAGCCCCTACATTAAGATCCCCCAAAGGCTGAGGAAGTTGGTGACCAAGTAATCACCTCAGTGTGACCCTGCTGGCCTCAGTTCCATTTAACTTCAGCAAGGAAGGGCAGAAGAAACTCTCCTAAAAAGCATATGGAAAGCAAAATTGCTCTCAGATCGCTGCTTCCCTTGATAAGGAAGTGCCGAGAACAAGCCTTTGCAGGCAGCCCTGAGCTGAGCAACATGCCAGCAGCTCCTTTGAAGGAGCCCGGGGAACAGCGGAGGCCGTATCTGACCACTGGGCTCCCATCCTCCTCTCAGCCTGTCTTTAATCTCAGCCCAGGCCGGCGGCTCTTTTCTCATTCTCCTGCTGTCTCTTTCCATTTGCCCTCTCTCTGACTGATACACTGATCTCTCGGTCACTCGGCTTTCTGCTCCACTGAGTCCATATTACTAATAACACCTCCGCCACGGCCAGTTTACCTCATGAAGGCAGGAGCACATCATTACAAAATAAACTCATAACTTTGACATTCTAGCAAATACACGCCGTTTGTTATTTTTATGGCTTTAGTCTTTCTAACAGGCAGAGGGCATCACATACCTGTTTCATTTATATCTTTAAATGTGTACACATATGCACACATGTATCAGGAAATAAAACAGGACAAAAAAACCCAAACCAAAGCAAATATCCAAACCAGGGAATGAATGGGGGAGACCCTGATGGACGCAGAAACCCTGTCACTCAGGGAGGCCATGCTCCGATCTGGCTCCGGTTTTATGGACGTCATAAACCTGATGGCCCACAACTGGTCCTTCTGGGACAGACCGCCTCTCTGCCGAAGTCATTCGGTGTGATCAGCAGTATTTTTAATTATTAAAATAAAGCTGAAAAGGGGGGGGGAATAAAAAGGAGACACTGTGCTGACTGTGAATACCTGACATTCACCATCTCTGTTAGGAGCCAAGAACTTGCTGCCTGAGAGAGAGAGCTGGACCAGTTTCTACTGAGAATCACTATTTTTTCCCTATGAAACACTGCCTCTAGTGCTTGATAATCTCCAGCCACTTAGAATTTCTCCAAAATTAGTAATGGACCTACGAAGAACCCGCGAAGAGACCAGAGCACACCAAGAGCAGTACAGCCGATCAAACACACCTTCCTCAGACGTCCTGGCCCCGCCTTTCAAAGAAATAGAGCATCCGTAACAGGGCTACTCCCAGAGGCTCTGCCACTTGCCCATTCTGCCCCATATTCTTACAAACTAATGGAGACAAACTGGGAAGGAACGAGAATTTAATAACTTCACATGTCTTCCCTTTACTCAGGTTCTGATGCTTTGTTCTGAAAAGGCAGCAGTATTTCTACACTTCCTCTCCTCTGGATTCAGAAAGAAAACTAACTGGAGCCAACCACAACCAAGAACATTATTTCTGGGCTAAACAAATGTTTTTCATGTGAGAAGATTCATTTAATTTTGGAATTAAAGAGAAAAAGAACAGGGTAGATAAACAGTGTATCCGAATGGCTCTCTCTGACCAGCCTTATCTTAGGAGGTCGGGGGTGGGGAGGGGAAGGACACAGAAATGAAACCTGCTTCACTAGCCACAAGCGAACGCTAGCAATCATAGCTACTTAACAGTCGGTGAAGAGAGCGCCGTACCCTCCAGTTCATCTTCAATGACCGTATGTTTGGAGCACGCACCAGTAGAAGGAGGGCGCACACAATAGCTCCTGATTTATAGGGGTCATTGCTGACTCAAGTGGTTTTAATGATTTTAGGATACTTCAGAACAAAAGCTCCAACCAAAGAAGCAGAATCTGGGCTAGGACAAAACCCATTCTGCCTAACTCAGAAACGATCATGCTGGAACAGTAACACAAACTCCGATCCGCATCGAGGGAGACAAAGAAAGGAGCCCACATAGACAGAACCACTATTTTATTCCTCCATATGTTGCCCTACCAACCTTCTACAGAAAAATATGAGGTAAACAACTCTCATCACCATAATATTTTCATGAAGAAGATGCATTTCATTCATCAGTTTTTTCCAACTTTGACATATGCATTTCTATATAAGCTGCTGCTGTGTTTCATTCCCCAAATTATTTCTCTCACATTTTTCTACTGCATGACACAAACTTTTAATTTATCTGCCCAACAAGCATCAATAACCACTTAAGCACAGGAGCTATTCAGACAGAGGTGACTCTCCTGAGGCCACACCTTGCTGCTCCCCAGGTCTAAAGTGGAGAAGCAGTACCATGTAATATTAAAAACAGGCACCATCTGAAGAGAGCCCACGCCAGCACAACTGAATAAGGGCTGAGTCTGAGGGGAAAGAGGGTCTTCATCCCCCCTCAATATAAACTTAAGCCTCACCCAGCATTCATTAATTGGGGCTGGCAGACCTGAGAATTAAGGGCACCGCATAAAAGCCAGTGATTAGCAGAGGCACAATTGTTAAAGGCCCCACCAAAGATGCTATGTAGCCTTTAGAAATTCTGAGATACACAGGAAGTGCAAATGAATGCAGTCATACATGCATGCTAGGCCTCCGCAGCCCTTGCTGCTTATCTAGAGACACTGCAAACAGCTCGGGTTTACCATAGCTGACAGGCAACGGAAACAGTCTAATATACCGCCTGCTCTCTCCCTTAAATCCCTTTTTGGAGACCAAGATAAACACGTTCTTCCTTTCCCCGGTGCCCGCCTCCTGACTGAAGTGGCAGAGCACTGTGAAGTTTTGTGCAAATGAAATCACTATGTAATACTGAATGGGTGTAGTATTTACTTGTCAGGATATTTGTCAGCACAGACATTGAGATTTCCAAGTTTCACAGATGCAACTTAGTTCAGTTTTTTTAAAACATTGCTTTTGTCCTGATATACATATTATGCTGGGGACCCTCAGACTTATAGGCAAATATTTGCAATCATGTGCTCAAGATGTGAAAAATAATGATGCATATCGATGCAATAAAAAATGAAATCTACCACTGCTTTCCCCCTTTCTCCAATCTTTCCCCCTAGGTGGGTCAGGGCAATCTTCTATTTAAAGAAGCAGGGAGTACAAATTCTTCCTGCATCTGAGAATTAAGCTATGCAAGCTGGGTCCTTGCTGCAGTCCTTCTCATTAGGATATTTCCATTCTCAAGAGGATTTGAGAAGGGGTTTTGTAAATTTCCTGAGCAATCGTCATCACTGGACTTCATCCATGATTCCTGATATTAACGTCATTCTGGGATCTGCCAGATTATTCATAAAGGTTTGGCTAAGGCAGAAAGAGAGATAGATATGAGAAAGCATACACGGGATCAGGGAGAAAGTGGTAAAACAGGGACAAAAGAAAGGAGGAAGGATGAGAGAGAGGAAAAGGGAGGGGGAGAGACAAGAGGACAGGGAAGAAAAAACGGCAATAGCTCATCTACTCCTGCTGCTAACACCCTCCTCCCTGACCTGAGAGAACTACATTTTTAAAAGCTGACAAGTAATTCAATCTCCAATTAACAATTTTAAGTGGTGCAGCACATATTACTGTGTAAATGTTTCTCCAGGAATATATCCAAGGGTGAATGAAATTAAATCTCTAGGGAGACAGGACCAGCGCCTATGTGACCCAGAATATTTGGAGAGTTTCAAGATACAGTCTCTTAATACACAGACTCAGGGTTATAATTTCTCCTCCTCTCCTTTACTGCCACTGGCAAACTCGAGTGCTGGTTGGCAGTGATAGGCTAGGGTTGAGGATAGACAAGGGGCACTGTGACACAGTGCTGGCACAGGATGGGAAAGCCTCTGACTTGAGATGGATTCAAGACCATCCACTGCAAGACCAAACATCTCTCTGTAAAAAGCAAAGT